TATAAGCAGTGGGTGTGGTCTCCCAGGGGGCAGAAGGGCGGGGCCCAATAGGAGAAGGTATAACCTTTAAAATCCTTCTTCGACCATCGGGATTAAGGGATTTTATCCTTATTTAGTATTTTGTATAATTGTTGGGTATGACCCCCCTAGGGGCATAGGGGTGGGGCTCTGTTTGAAGTTTGTTCACACTATATCTCAAGTACTGGATGGATCTTTCTGAAAATTCATATGCACCTACCATTGAGTGCTATATCTTTACTTAAGACCAATGATTTTAAACACATTCAGGTGAGCGATACAGGCCCTCTGGGCCTCTTGTTAACATTTTTGATGCACGTTTCCCACCAAAGGCAACGTTCTCAAGAACTTGTAGCGAGGTAACAGCATAATATGTTGGTTTGGTGAGTTCCCAAAAAGATCTCTCTCAGCCGGAAATTGAGCCTATCACTATATGATAAAAAATGTATTGAATTGATGATGTAGACATGCACGTCAAGTTTTTATACAGACGTTCTAGTGTTGCCAATATTTGTATTGTGTTGTGATCGTCTGGCGGTCGAATTGTAACCCGACAATTCTTGCCAGCATCCGCGTCATGATGACGCGTGGACACGACGTATCCGGATTGTCCCAGACGTGGAAACCTTACACTACAATCCTGCCTGTATACACTGTGTGACTTGTATGTGTTTGTAGAGACAGTTTGACACTTTACGGCTGATTGAACGGTATCAAAATGGTATTCAGTCATGTACAAATAATTGAATTTTGAAATTTCCATTACAAATAATTATATATTATTCTGAACGTGAGATTCTTGAAAAATGACACCGGGACACGAGACTTACGTCATTTATTCGTGAAAATATCGGTTCTAGGAAACAAACACGTTTTTATTTTTATATAAATCTTTCTCATACATCATCAAAGCTATTAGCCTCGAGAACGTTTTTGTTCAAAATCGATTTTGGATAAATACGAAGTGTAGTCGAAAATATGCAAACAACTATTTCACATTGAAGAGTTATCTTACAATGTAAATGTTTCGTCTCCTCGGGGAATATCATAATAGCAGGCATGTGGCGAGGTCGTTTACACCATTTGAAGTTGATTTATCTAAATTCTAATAACCATTGTTACCCATGCTTTCCCGACACGCGCACGTTCCTAGCTGTTTGAAATGAGACATTCAGTCGTTATATTATACTATATTATACTCTTACCAAATATGCTAATTAGCTGGTACCGTTTTCCCCCGAATGACACTATATACAGTGGCCTGTTGTGGACACCCTCGTCACGCGGACTTATTATTGCCAAAACGCAGTAAAAAAAACGTGTTTTCAGTTTAAAATTTCACTTAAAACTAAAGTAGCATAAAAGCTAGGGAAGGTAAAACCGATAAACTGCTGTATCCAGGGTGGGCGAGGATGATTACCAGCCAAAATAGGAGTACAGCGCACTTTTTCTGGAGCTAGATCAGGATTCGAACCCAGAGCCTCAGAAACCATGGTATACACAATTGAGTCTTATAACTTCCATGTGGATATTGTCTGTATCAGCTGTTATGCGTGAAAATAAGACATCAACGTGCTTTTTCCGCATTTGGTGCAGTTCAACGGTTTTTAATAGAAGTATGGTGGGTCCCTGATCTTTCGTAGTTCAACTAGAAATGTTGTTTTTGATGCGAGAAAGTGAGATGGGGTCGACTTTCCGACATCGAGAGTTTTCCGCCTAATCATTTAGGTGTTATTTTTTACCGAAATTTGATCTAAACCCCTAAAGTCTGTAAAATTACAGTCCTGTCCATCTTTTTACTTTTTTTTGTATATTTTAACACCAGATACGTAGAATGCCATTAAATATCGTCAAATAACTGTCATTGGCTTATTTTCAAGGTCACAAGGGTCACACATGTTAAAAACGACAGTCATGAAAGCCCTTAGGCCTGGAACCATGCCAATATGGATGAGATATTTAGGAGGCAGTAAAACAGTGACGAGTCGCATGAAGTACAGTAAAACCTCGTTATACTGCCACCATTTGTCCAGGGACAATTTGGCGTTATTAAGGGGTTTGGTGATAAAATTAACAAATGAAGGTCTTCTAAACAAAAAGAGAAAAACGGATCTTGAAATATGTTGGCGGTAAGTGAGTTGGCAAATTAAACGAGGGGTGTTGCTGTAGATGTTTTCATGAAGGGGTTACGCGGACAAGAACGCTGCTCTGATGTAGCGTTTAGTTTGAGGAGATAGATGGTTACATCGACTGATTTGTCAGCAAGTAAGTGAACTCGTCTATCACCTGGGTAATTAAGAAGCCCGCAGATGAACCGTCCTGACGACAGTATCGGATGCCTCGGTACATATATGTAACATCGCATCATCAAAGACAATACTATTTTGAGGATTTTATATACCGCTTTATCACAACCAAGGTCGTCTCAAAGCGGTTCACAAATTAGTACCCGTGATTATTGGGCCTTTGTAGCCAGCAATTATCTTTCTCGGTTCCTTGTGGAACATACAGCACCACAACAATTCAAGCACTGCCCAACCGCGTACTCATTTACAGCTGGGTAGAGTGGAACAAGCGGGATAAAGTAACTTGTTCAAGGATACAACACAGTGCCATGACGGAACTCGAACCCACAAACCTTCGGTCACGAGCCCAGCGTCCTACCACTAGACTAACGTGCCTCAAGACATTTTAGTAGACAACATCTTTGCTAGTTTCCTTACGTGTAACCTATTTAAGATCCATTTGGACCAGGGTAAATTCAAGGACTAACATGCAACAGGAAGTAAAGAGGTTGATAAAACGGTTGATGCAAAAAAAATGACAAAAAATCGTGTACAGCTTGGTTTTGCGTCCCATGAAATATTGTTGGAGTATAATCCATCCCAGGAACAGTGGATCTAATCGACTCGCCGAGGTGTTAATGAGGCAATCGGGAACCGTGGGCACTTTTCGTAAACGCTTATATACACATATATATACAAGAAAATAACAAATAAGAATATATGCAAGAAACAATAAATAAGAAGCAATATATGTAAGAAAGTATTTTCTTTTTTTTTACTGAAAGTGCCAACGGTTTCCGATTGGTTGGTAAGGATGTTCCAGTCACCCACTTGAAAGGATCTATCTAGGTTCAGCTTGTCGAATCCTCGCGTGCCTTGGGTGTAGGAATAAACCCCGAGAACATGAGTCAACTTGGAATCGAGATGAAGAAGGCGAGTGTTCTCTCGATGAAGCAAAAAACTGTAACCAATCTGTAACATATTGTCCTACCTTCCTTGTACTTATTCAAGTGCGTCCATTTAAGTATTTTCCTTGTTCATCACGTGTTCGTGTTTTGTGGTTTTTGAGTTCGAAAGACTTTACACTTTGGTATTTTGTAGTTTTATTTTTATGTGAATGCCGTTTGAAGAACATAAACTACACAGTTTAAATTATATTTGCTTTTCGCTCAGGTCTTCCTACGTTAATTATGATTTTTTTTTATCTTTTGTTTTTCATTCTACATCTAACGTAAGATGGTAATTTTACAAACGAATTGTGAAATTTAGAACATACCATTCAAGAATTAAGTGCAAATGAAGCTGTACAATTTAATTTTTCTTATTTCATTCTTATTATGGATCTGAAGTTAAGAAATAAATATTGTCCTTAAGCTATTGTTAAGGTATTATAAGAAACATATTCATATTTACATCTATCTCCACAAAACAGTGAGTTTATTGTAGAAAGAAACATTAATGTAAATTATACATTTATCATCCTTGTTGTAGGAAACCGATTTTTTTTTATCCGAGGTTAATCATATTTGACGAGGGCGATGACCGAGTAAAACATCATTAATCGGGGGGAAACAAAGAATCGTGTTTCCTTCCACCAGTGTTACACACATTTTATAATGTGGAAATAAAACAATAATCAAATGGAAGAGATGATCTGGTTGACGCACCATTGTTGCCATCTCCTCCGTCATTCGGAACTCGGTTGTGGTGACTCTTTGCGCATTTTTATAGAGAAGCTTGGAATTGGCGAAATATGATCGGGAAAACTCGAGCGTGTGAGGGGGACATGATGTTTTATTATCTCGTCATGTGATCAATAACATCCAATCAGACACGCTGTTGTAAAGATGACGTACATGGGGAAGTGAACTATAAGAATTCAATAACCTTTCTATTGTTCACTTTGTGGCGTAATTCTGTCGAATCCCCACCTAAGGATGTAAAATGACAGTAAACATCATTTTCATAGTTTGTGTCATGATGTCATTTTAATAAATTGTCATCTTATGATAGCCTTATTCAATTCTATATATGTGTTGAGTTTTATGTGGAGTAGGCATAAATGCAAGTTATATACATAGCTGATTTTATGTCGCGACACATAAACCCTCCATTAGACTGTTTGACAAGTATTGTTAAAAGGTTGCTACGAACATAGCCCCCTTAGGTAGCCGTTCCCCATTCTTGGTGCCTCCATTGTTTTGAGGTTTTGATTGACTGACATCCCACGCTACGATCTGATTGGCTGTAGGCTTCTTTCTTCATCTTTAAGAAAATTTTCAACGGCGCCATTTTGTGGCAGCATCTTTTTAGAAATTTATACCAAATTTGCCTTATTGAAAAACCCACCCTTAAATGCCACCCTTTTTAATATTGTTTGTTTTGTGATTTATATATATGTGTGTTGGTGTGGCGTAATTCTGTCGAATCTGTAAATTGACAGTAAACATCATATTCATAGTTTGTGTCATGATGTCATTATAATAAATTGTCATCTTATGATGGCCTTATTCAAGTCTATATATGTGTTGAGTTTTATGTGGAGTAGGCATACAATAATACTTCATAATTGTATGTACGTGAAAGAACTCGCTGCATAATTTAGATGTTATACTAATAATTGATATCATTAAGCTTTGTTGACTGAACGTAAGGTCGAACGCAAAGAAAAATTGAAACTGAAGTGTATTTCTGGTATTTTATAGACTTGTTTTATTCAAGAAATAATAATTTATCTAACACACAGATAAATGAACACTACATCGTACTTTCTTCTACAACCGACTCGTCGTATTCGAATTCATCCTCGTCTTCCTCACTCGACGAGCAGGATCTGTCATCTTGCGAATCACAATTTGATGATAAAAGCGATGATGACGACGAATGGGAATCGTTATCGGGGTCTGCAGGTCCTCCGAAAGCTGACGACGATGCAAAATATGAGGAATTTTCCAATAAACCCGTTCTTTCATTGTCTTTTCGACCTTTGTCAGACCCTATGTATTTTAAAAGAGCACTATTTTCTGCCTTTCGTTCACTGTCTTCCACATTGTGTGTTGTGACGTCACAAAATGCAACATTGTTCAGACCGGAAGCGGAAGTGCCTGTCGATGCGGAGTTCGGGAGAGGATCTCGGTAGTTGTTTGCGGACAGCTGAACAGCATCAGAGGCCGACCTAGGCACATTGGATTCCGATGATACGGCTGTAAAATAAATGAGTACACAAAAAAGGTATAGATAGTTTGGTTGAACACAAAATTTTCAGAAAAACAAACGTTAAGACTGAACAATAAAAATAAATTGTTCTCTCTAATAATTATTGTTACAATAATATACGTATGTCTTTAATGTTAATTTTCGTAATATGCCATCACTTCTGCAAGAAATTGTACTGCTTCAGTTGGTCTTCCGCAATCTCAGCAATCTCATGGCTATGAGAATAGGATTACGTCAATTGATGACGTTCACGTATCACCTCATTTTGATAAATGGGCCATAAAACTTAGCAAATACATGTAGTTACATGTTTAGTTGTTGATGTTTGATTGAAAAAGTGTAGAAGTTTGTACACTTATAATGGAAAATACGTTCATAGCTGCATGATTTGTCATCATTGAAACTAAACATAAAATGCATATTCATTCTCTTGTATCTTGATACATGTAGTAAAAATAATACGGAAATGCTTTTACCTTTTTTTTTTTTCATTTTTTCTCTTTTTTCGTTCCTTTCAATTTTTCATTTTTTATTTGAAATTTTGATGGTTTACTTGATATTTGTTTTGAAATTTCAAACGGGATACATTGTAGTAAAGTTACAAGATACATCTGCTATATTTTGCTCTGTACCTCAAACTGACTAGCGAGTCATTTCAAAAATTCATTCATCTTTTATATTTTATGGCTGACGTTTCGTGACAAGATATTGCAACCAGAATACCAGAATGGTTTATGATGATGTGGAAAGCTTTATATCCGATATCACGATTGCCCCTGTTCGCTATCTTAACCAACACAATGCGATGCAATAACGGGTCGGTCACAGAGTGTAATTACAGTTTTATCGTTATTCTGTCTCACTGGATAACATATTACTGGGCGCAGTTAATGTATTATTGCCAAATATGGCATTTTCCATTGACTTTGAATTTAGGCTGATGTGAACCAGAAAAAACAGACCTATATATTTCTACTACATTATGTCGTTCCATATTCATGAACGCCGTGAATTTTATCTTTCCTTCAATTTACCAATAATCGAACTTAGTACCGTAACTGTACATATTTTAGCGGTAGTCTTATATTAGCGCTTTTCGCTCTTTAAATATTGCTCTAAATAATAACTGAGCTAATTGAAAGGACTGTATATTTTTTTATTGCATATGTGATGGGTGGTTCGATTCATCAGTGCGCTAATTATATATATAATTAGTTAAAATATTCGATAAAGCACTAAAATTTGAGTGCACTAAAATAAGTACGTTTATATTAATCAAAACGTACATGTATATCATTCGTGTCATCATATGTTCGAACATCTTTGAATAACAAATAGAGTTTGAACGACGTTTTTTAAATTCTCATGCCGGTATGAACGCAAATCTGTTACATCCATATTGCTTGAAGCCCGATAGGGCTTCATGTTTACGTCATAAGTAAACCACGTGTTACGTCACGAGAGTTTCTGCTTTTATACCCCAAATGAATGCATTTCTGCTGGTAATGTTCATATAGTGGGTTGCAGCGCAAATTTAAATATATGTCTGTATCTACACAGAAATTATTATGAAATCAGCATACTTTTATCCAAATATAAAAATATTTTGAATAAAAAAATGTTGTTTAAGATTAATATTCGTTCTTAAAGCAGGTGAAATGTGTAAATCTTCATAGTATCTTAACGCTTAGCACTATAAATTATCTATTTTTTCGGAAGATATTAATTTACGCATGTGTTTATCTCAAGGAGACTCCTTCGCAATTTTATATATTTCACAAATAAATGGCGTACTGTCAATCGCGGAGTCAGGTATTCGCGAATAAACCTTACAAGCACTGTTCGGAAAATGATGTGCACACGAAAAAACGTGATTCACAGGAAACGATTGTTTATTTATTTACCTGCTTACAGTTAAAGGCCCGTTATAGTAAACAAAAAAAATTGCTTCAGCACTGTGCTCAATCTCATATGCTTGTTTAAGTGGGGGAAGTATTTTTCCAAACTTCTATTTATCTAATTTTTCTTTGACTTAGCCGAAACTTGTAGCCCTCACCATTTCCATGTTTATTTTCTTTCTTATTAGTCTTTATAACATAAAATCTACGTTGGAATTTTCTTTCGTGGTTTGAAGTTATTTATATCGTTTCGTTGAACAAACTTTCATGAAAACCCCAATATAAACAAACAGTAGTCAAGTACATCAATTAAATCTTTGTATTTATTTTCGTAGTTCCTTAGCCACATCGAAAACCACGAATGTTTTTACACCGCGAGTATTTCATGCTATACGAATTTCTATGAATCGCAAAAAAGGTTAGTTTAACCATATCACTTGTGGTAAAACAACAGATCAATTTATCTCTGCGTCTCATGGCATGATATGTTTCCTGTGTATTTGCACAAAGTTGGCACTTTTTGGGTGGTGGGGGGTTGTTGACAGCTCTGTAGTGTGAGAATCGATAGCAGACTTTGGCCAGATAGAAGTCTAGAACCGGTTTGGGTACGGTTGACGTGTCAGATGCGCAGTTTCAACCCAGAGTGAAATGTTAAATTCACGGGGTTGGGCCACACTGAAATGTAAGATGCGTAGGGTTGTAGTGAGTTGAAGCATGCTTTACACGGCATTGGCCCGGCTTGAAGTGTGCGATGCGCGAGGTACGGCCAGTTTGTGCGTGCGTTCCACAATAACCCGTATTCCTGATGTTTATTCATAAATATTCACTATCTGCGGATTTTAAGTTCGTTCCATGTTTTCCCAATAGGAACAGAAAATATAGATGACTCGATCCAGTTAAGAAATAATGGGTTCACACTGAGCTGTGACCTTGAGAGGAGACTGCTAATGTTTGAACGCGAATTATGAGGAGACATACCAAAGCCATATTATGTACAGAATTATCTCGTAATTCAACTTGACGGTTCTGTGATACCTCAACTGTCAAAAACGCATTTTATAGTTCTAACATAATTCATCGGGTTTTTGATCTGTCAATTAAAAATCCCACTTAATTCCATAGGGGACAAAAAAAGCTGCAAATGAAATATTTATGTTGTTCTAATGTAGCCGCTCCTCATCCTGTCGGAAACACATGCCATAAATCCCAATGTGTACTCCTATAGTTTGAGTGCTGTCCGTCCAGACCGAATTAATATCGGCCGGGGAAAAGGTTCAAGATTAACATTGTATAATGCGACTGCTCTATCTCGCTTGTGCAGGGTAATATTTATTTGTGACAGGGGAGTGTCAGGGCGGGGACTGATAATCAACGTTAAGATTCCAATTACATTATTTTCGAGAATGCGCCAGATCAAGTCCCCATTTTTTTTATTTTTTTTTACAAGCAGAAGCGAAGTGCTTAATCTTGGAGTAATAGAACAAGGCGCTGTGTAGACAATGCTGTGTTCAACACACTTTCTCTATATGTTTAAAAATAGCAAAATCCAACCGACGGTAAATTTTGAAGCCAAACCTGTTTTCCTACAACAAAATAATCATGGAGGGTCGTCAAGATGACACTTTTTATACTTATCACCTTTCCCAGTTTTTCTAAACAGTTGATAACCTTATGTAAATTACTTCCCTTGCGTTCGTGGATAGAAGCTTGCTGTAGCCGACGTCTATTATTCCCGAACTTACAGGGATAATTCCAATGCATACAAGGTTAGTTAAAGGCGAACCATATACGTCCTCATGTAACGCCATTGTCTCTATTATGAGAAGTTCTTTTTACACAACCAATACAATTTTCTATGTGACGTTTCGATGACTAGTACGATACCTTAGAAGTGCTATTAAGCTGAATAATAATCACGGTGGTTTCATTTCCCCAAGTTATGAACTTTCCCTTTCTTGACAGTTATATCCCTATTAGAATCCTTTACGGTGTAACCACGTCGCAGATGTTCCAAAATGCAAGGGCTTGCTCCGAATATCCCAATTTCCGTGATAGATGTTGACTAAACATAAGGTGTTGAGAGATGCATGTTAAATGGATACTTTAGGCAAGTTTTGTGATCGCCATCATGTCCTCATATGGAAATAGTTTATTTTAATTTGTTTCATTAGTGCGTTTTGTGTTTTTGTTACTACACAATTACCACTTTAGAAGGACGTGACAAAACTTGGATTTGACGTAGATATTTATGTTATGTGTTACCGAGGAAGCAGAGAAAAGACGCTTTCCCTTCCAAATTACATAGTCCAGAGCCGTATACATTACAATAAATAATATATACGTCGCTGCATAGTCCAATTCTCGTTTTACATTTTTCGAAGGTTTCCGTGTAAAGCTTTCCTGGGTTCGTACATTGCCTTAATTTCATCGATAATGACCTCGAAATACTTTTTAAACTTACGTATTTTTTTGTTTCTAGATCTAATTAGTGCCTATGCATCTATGTTGTAAAGTACATGTACTTGCTGTGTAAGTGAGTTGGGTTTAAGAAAATCTAATAAGGCAAATACAAAGTTAAGCCTCGGCAATTGAGCAACCGCGATTTTTTTTTGTCCCGTTGTCCGCCCTGTTCCTCCCTTGATTGAATCTGGAACCTTATGGCTTTAAGGTTGAATTATCCAATAGTCATGTCAAAATAATACCCAAACGTCAAAAAACCATGATTCGAATCCAATATCGATAAAACTGTGGCAAAGTACGAACAAATGAGAAATGAACATGGATACCCTTAGGAAAGTACAAGGATAAAAAGATCAGACGTTCCGGGAGGGTAAGCGTCTTCTGCTTCATCGACGACACAATTATATCGTATCGCATGAAAAAGGAAAAAATAATTTTCAATTGATAAAATTCCAAAGTTTTATCAATCTGAAGTAAAGTAATTTACAAAAGTAGTCCGGATTTCTTTACACCAGATTCATAAAAATGAATATTGTATTTTGCATGTCACGTTTGCGACAATGAGCCAAATAAAGTCCATTTTACAGACTATGAAATACCTTTTAAAAATATTGTATGGTAGTGTATTGTTTTTTGGTTATGTTTTGTTATGATGAGCATCAATCAGAACAGACGGTCTGAAAATTCTCTGGTAACGAAGATAGTTTGTCTATCGGGAAACTGCACTGTATTGCTTTAGTATGTGTATTTTTCGTTTTATCAGAATAAATGAGAGAAAGACTTCATGTTTTCTCAAAAAAAAGTTTCAATTTGATGACGTATCTTCATCATGTACGACATGGCGAGTAAAGTTGTAAAGGGGGTGTTAATGTCGATATTTAACTTAACACGAAGCGAATAATACGGGACATTAACACAAATTTAACTTTTTAAGAGAGACACATTCCTGTAAGTGAGCTCTCGAGAATAGCGTATTGACATATTGACGAGAGATGATGACATTCCCGTGAATTCTTAGATGACGAGATAAAGGCACTTTGCACACGTCCCCAATATCCTCGCTTAGAAGTCGTGTGCTTGCGCGAAAGACTTTCCTGATAATTTAATCCAAATTGAATAGGGATTAGAATTTGATCGCATTTATATTGCAGGGTGTTTAAAGACAAATACATCATTTAAAATGTACTCAAATAACATGAAGGTTTTACTCCATTACCGCTAGTTTCCTGCCAAAGATAAATGACTTCGCAATAAATAAGTTCATTTACCAACGGTGTTTTCTGATGATTTGGCCATTCAAAATCCTGCTGGAAGTGCCACCACACAGCAATAATAAGAATGACCTTTGGCAGTAACTCAAAAAATATACAGGAAAAAAAATCTCTTTTACAATTGAAATAGTTTCCGCTCAGATGATTGCTTACAGATGATGGTGATTCTGCATCTTGTGACATCCTTGACTTGTAGTCCGTCACTGCTGTCATTCTAGTCGCGAAGCCTCATTTGACGTCATCAGGTGATGGCCAGCCCTCTTCAGATGTTTCGACCCTTAATCACTACATCCTCCGGCTGGTGGGTCAGTAGTGGTGGCCAAACCACTACTCGTCTATGTCGGCTTCCACATCGGCTCATCTCGTTTGTGCCATAGCCAGCACGATGCTCTCTCTGCAGCTTCTCCCAATCGTCTGATGGCGGTAGCTCTTGCCCTCCCAGTGAGTCCTATTGACTGTAGTGTTCTCCACACTGACTGTGCGGGGAAACCTCTACAGCCAACCTCCACTGGAAAGAGCCATACTGTCCATCCTCTGCTCCTGCACTTTTCCATCAGCTCATCATACTTGGCTTTCTTCCTCTCGTGAGCTTCCTCGCAGCCTTCCTCCCATGGTACGGTGAGCTCTATGGCGAAGAGGTGTCTGCATTGCTCTGTCCATAATACCATGTCAGGCCTCAGTGTTGTTTCCACTATTCCTGGAAACACAAGCTTCCTGTCAAGGTCAACCTTCATCTCCCATGTTGACGCCCGTTCAAAGATGGATGAGGTGCTTCGAGTCTTCACTGTGGCTTTCTCCCCTGGTTTCACAAACTTGATACCAGCCTGGTTTGTTCTTACATCAGTGGCTTATCGTTCTAAAGTTATGAGATTTTATTCATTTAGTTTCCTATAAGGACATCAGGCGTCGGTATCACAAAAAAATCTCAAAACACAAGCTCTAATCTTAAGTTTAAACTCGGATGAAATCTACAGCAAAATGGATATCACAAAGCTGGTAAAACACAAGCGCTGCTGAGATTGCAGACGTTAGCTTCGGTTGTTCTCTTCAAACAAAAACTAGCACTCTTCTTATTTCACGACTTTGGCGTTTTTTTTGCGCGAAATCTCGATAGTCGTCTGCCAAATCACAGTTTGAAACGATTTAATATAGTAATATGAAACCAAAAAACGTAAATATTTCAAGAAGATTTTTAAAAAGTTTCCTATTTCACTTCACTAACGATTAAAATAGAGCATTTTCTGGACGCGTTTCTATGGTCCACTCGTATATTTGTCATTTAAAAAATGGGGAAGGAGGGCCATGGCGTTGGAAAGTACAACGGTGGGAATAAACATGTAACATTTGACCATTTATACTTTTGACGCTGAGCTTGAGTTTCCTGTGTCAGGACACATATATCAGCTTGAGGCGACCTACAGTGTGTCTGTTACACTAAAGTCATGGTCAGTCCTTTATGTCTCTGAGTCATAACACGACAGTGGTAATCAAGACAAACACGCTTCCTTTCGCGCTCGTCTTTCGTAATGATACCTTTCAAGGTTTTGGGCACTTGAGTTGGTGATTTACTATAGATTCCCACGCGAGCTTGTAGCGTTTATGATAATGATATATGCTCAACTTTTTTTCTGCTGATGAAAACATTACTTTCAATAACAGAATCATGCTACTATATAAAAACTACCCCTAAATGGTTCAACAAACCACGATTTTATTCATTAATTGAGAAACTATATTCAGTTACGCTTAGACAAGAAGAATCGATGGGGTTTCTTTCATTCAAAATTAGCACCCTGCTCTCACGTGAGATATTTATAAAACACTTCTACGCCACCAATTAGCGCTTCCGTTATTTTCTTCAAATGCCATGCCCAAAGCGGATCACGGTTTTAATTGTGGCACATCCTCTGTAGTTTAAATTCAGTTTTTTCAGTTTCGTGTTTTTTATTCCGACTTTTAACTACTTGAACAAGTAACTATTTTTTGATTTTGAAATAACCGTCTGATGTTATTTGTAAAACCTTGAAATGTTTAAACATTAAACGAAATAATAATATTAGTTAAGTTTGATTCGTTTTGGGTACTGATCCGATCTGAGTATTAAATTTGCAAATAACGACGCAAAGTATGTATTTTTTGCTATTATGGTACTATTAGTGGAGTCCCTAAGGAATCCCGTGGGATTTTTTTGAAGGAAGCTAGAGGTGGTGATTTTCTGAAAAGTTATGCTGTCCTAAATCAAAATAAGTTTGTTGTCATTCTGACAACCGCGTCTGGTCAATTTGATGACGTCATTGATACGTATATTGAGGTATTCAATACTTATCTGTTTGATCAAGCTGGCATCAATTTTGCTCAGCAATCGTCAAATTTCAATTTATCTCCACCTCCCCTGGTTATTTACCATTTTCTATTTACATGTTATTGTCAGTATTTATAAAGATGAGTTCCACGGTAGTCTATGATCAATTTGATATCCATAGCATTGAACAATATATATACTGTAGAATCTATTTTTTTCGTGGGGTTAAAATTTTGTGGTTTTCATATACTAGCCTGTTTCAAGGACATTATATTTTCCCCTTTCATACCAAATTTATGTTTTCGTGGGGATTTCATTTCGTGGAATTTTGTTACCTACGAAATAAACGAAATTTAATGTCCCACGAAAATTTATGATCTTACAGTATATACATGTATTATATTGACATATATAATGAACATTAAAATAAGTCTATTTCTCGGGACCCGAGTATCATCTGCCTACCTGTTAATTAAACATAAAGAAAAACGTATTATGCGCACTTTGATTGATCAAATAATCAAAGCAGTCACATCTATGGTCTAAATGTAGCTCAGGTAAAAACGCTATTTTATAAGTAATTCCTTATTATTAATTGATTTAAAAACAGAAACAATTGTGGGCATTTTCTTCTATGGCATGAAATATCTGCGTTGATGTTTATGATGATGATGATGATGATGATGATGATGATGATGATGAAAATGATGTATAAAATGGTAAAATAGATAATGATGGAACTTTTTTTTCTATGGCATGAATATCTGCATTGATGTTTATGATGATAAGGATGATGATGATGATGATGATGATGATGATGATGACGACGATGACGAAATGATGGAAATGATGATATGATGACGACATCAGGGAAATGATGATGATGATGATGATGATGATGATGACGATGATGATGATGACATTGACGACGATGACAAAATGAGGGAAATGATGATGTAAAATGATGATGATGATGATGATGATGATGATGATGATGATGATGATGACGAAATGAGGGAAATGATGATGTAAAATGATGATGATGATGATGATGATGATGATGATGATGATGATGATGATGATATGAGGGAAATGATGATGTAAAATGATGATGATGATGATGATGATGATGATGATGATGATGATGATGACGAAATGAGGGAAATGATGATGTAAAATGATGATGATGATGATGATGATGATGATGATGATGATGATGATGATGATATGAGGGAAATGATGATGTAAAATGATGATGATGATGATGATGATGATGATGATGATGATGATGATGATGATGATATGCTGAAATGTCTATATAGAATGAATGTATTAACGTGACATTGAATCATTACATTATTTCCCGAATTATTACATTATAATATATTTAAGATGATAATATTACCTTGTATTTGTTGGAACTCGCTTTTTCTACACCTGCAGCTGAGTTTTATAGACTTTAGTATTTTCTTGTAACCATGGCGGTAGGATTTGTCGAAGAGACCGAAGATAATGGGATTAAGGAGCCCAGACAGAGATGTGCTGAGGAGAGCATATAGGACGGAGATGTCGCTTATCTTCAGCCCAACCTTCCGTAGAGTGATCAAAATCTGAAAGATACGAAACTAATGATTACACATTAATATGCTTCAACTTGAAGTAATACGAAACCAATTGATCCATGAAAAGCACAGTGTGAATAATACGAGATAGGGACATCTCATAACTTTAGACCGGTTTTCGAGTAATAATTTTGTAATTAGAACCTTCAACTATAACACGAGGTCAGCTTACACAATACTCAGAATCAGCTCAAAATTTACGAAACTAACGTGAACGTTTCGAGGCGAGTTAGCATGAGGATAAGCAATCGGGAACCGTCGGCACTTTCCGTAAACGAGAAATACGTTATTAATAAAAAAAAAGTTATTAATACCGAGGTATTTTCTCGTTTACGGAAAGTTCCGACGGTTCCCGATAGGAGGATGAGATGCTCGTGTACTTCTTAAGTAATTCCTTTAAGGAACGTTTTACTACGAATATCAAGATCTCCGCGAAAATATCGTCGACAGCAGACATACTTACAACACAAGGTTCCGAGAGATGCAGAATGATGCAGACTATGGACAAGTTTGATAATCACGATCACAATCTTATTGGGAAAGGTAATACTTTCTTTAGCGATATGACGGTCGATGTGTTAATCATGCTGATTATTGTGCCCCAGTGGTTTCGTTGCCATTAACCGTTTCTTACTTTAGAGGAAGTGACTCAAATTCAAATTTTAATTATATTTACATGGAAGATATTGTCGCTGAAGTTGAGGCTTACCTTAATAATAATAATAATAAAATAATAATAATTGGAGGTTCTTATATACCACTTGATCACAACCTAGTTCGTAGGTCGTCTCAAAGCGTTTCATAAATTATTATCCGTGGTTATAGGGCCTTTGCAACCAACCAATACCTTTCGCAACTCTATTGGGAGCATACAGCCGGTGCTGCCATTTCGGCGCTCACACCTAGCATTCAACAATTCCAGCACTGCCCAACCACATACTCATTTACAGCTGAGTAGACTGGAACAAGCGGGTTAAAGTATCTTGCTCAAATATACAACACAGTGCCGTTCCGTGACTCGAACCCGCAACCCTTCGGTCACGAGCCTGGTGTCCAACTACTGAACTAGACTACCGTGCCTACTTGTGTAGCTTAGTGTGCTTATACGGAGTATCACGCCTTCGAAGTCTCTATGGCAACTTTCGCGGATCCGGTTCAACCGTTTCAACCAGCTGAATCTGAAAAGAAAACGTCAGGCTCTCATCGGAACCGAGGCTGACCTCAGGAATATTCGGCATGTGCATATCGAGGGGGTCGGACGTGCCTGACCGAAACATAAAGGATGAAACCAGGTTTTAATTTCTTCGTTTATTTCTTATTGTCTTCATATTAATTTTTCCTGTTTATAATCTGCCCTTTAAATTGATACTGGTCTCGATTGGTGTTTTTACGCTGCAGTATTCTATTGTTGTTTTCCCTGAGAAGTAATAAATGGTAATAGAAGGACGTCGGTTCCATCTTTATGCTTCAATTATATTTCTTTAATTCCCTATTAAGTGTAGTTTCATGAATATCAAATGCGCGTTTTTATTTGCAAATCAATTGTGACTTTTATTTCTGTTTTTCGAAGATTACATGATGGTAATGTAGCCTTGTAATTTCAATGACGTATTCTGCAAATAACACTGAATCAAGGCTTATCAACTCTCCCTTATGAGAAGTATTTCCTATGAAAGATTGTGAACAAAAAGGTTGTGCAATCTCATTTAGCGCCGGAAACCATTATTTGACCTTTTAGGATGAGTGAAGCACCAAGATAAGAACAAATTCATGGATCTGTAACTCCTCTTTAAGTTAGGTTGTTTTCGCGTATCCCGGTTGAAACGGTTAAGATAGCAGAGAAATATAACGTGATAAACGAACGCTCTTTGACCGGAACTTTGCCGAACTTATGGGCAGAGCTAAAAAGCATAATTTCGGAGTTTTGTGACAAATAAGTAACAATACTTCAATAATGATATGTGTTTTTTTCACGCTTCCACTATTTTTTTTAAAACAACCTAAAGCATACACGCGTATCGACATTGTTTTATGCAGAAATAATGCAAACTAGCGAGAGTCGTCATTTATGAAGCTCACGTCTGACCCCCTCGATATGCCCGCGCCGAATATTCCTGAGGACAGCCTCGGTTCCGATGAGAGCCTGTCGTTACGGTTGAACCGGATCCGCGAAAGTTGCCATAGAGACTGCGAAGGCGTGATACTCCGTATAAGCACACTAAGCTACACAAGTAGGCACGGTAGTCTAGTACAGTAGTTTGACACCAGGCTCGTGACCGAAGGGTTGCGGGTTCGAGTCACGGAACGGCACTGTGTTGTATATTTGAGATACTTTAACCCGCTTGTTCCAGTCTACTCAGCTGTAACTGAGTGCGTGGTTGGGCAGTGCTATAATTATGAAATGCTAGCTGTGAGCGCCGAAATGGCAGCACCGGCTGCATGTATGCTCCCAATAGAGTTGAGAAAGATGTTGGTTGGTTGCAAAGACCCCTACAACCACGGATAATCATTTGTGAACTGCTTTGAGACGACCTACGAACTTGGTTGTGATAAAGCGGTATATAAGAACCTCGAATTATTATTATTATTATAAGTAATTATAGGTAATCAGGTTCCACTGTATCAGTTATAGTAGCACGGAAATGTTCCACTCGTAGGCTTTGTTTCTCGACCTGACGTATCAACACAAAGACATTTTTCTGGCTTAGAGTAACCTCCCCTGTCCAGTGTCTCATGGGCTTTGCGACCAAATTATTTGAAACTCATTTTTGTACTGTGCATTTATAATTCTCTATAGCAACATTTGTAAAGCGTAGGCGTTTTGGAATTAAATGTTCCGAATTAGACCACCTGTGTGGGTGTTTGTTGTGGTTATTTCCCTTTATTTTATTTTATTTTATTTTATATTAAAACATTCATATTTCGAAGAATGATAAATTCTGTAAAATGCAATTCAAAATTTGATTTTTATGGAATACTTCTCTTGAAAAAACCCAAAACCAAATATGTCATTAAAGTGACAATGGTAATACTATAGTTTAATTTGTTGGTATACTAAATACGAATAGGCCCGATAATGTGCTGATTAATGTAAAACCAAGTGTCTTTTCGAATGTCGATTTGAAAGTCTACGTAATATATCAAAATTCTAAAATAAAAATAATTTGCATCCAGTATTCAGGACTTGTGAAAGGAAAAAACCACTTGTCAAAATGATCGTAAATTTACCGTGTAGACATTCCCTGTAGCCGCAATCGTGCAACAAATCAAACACCTTGGTAAAGCCAGTTAATCTTCATATATTTGTCATTGGAGCCATTATTCCAATAGCTCCCCTAGTCAGACTATTCAATTTGATATTTTTTTGGCTTCCACACTAATTGATCGGTTCCAACGCTAGAGCACATATCTATTAAAAAACGTGATTAATTTCATATGTGTTTTTTTTATAACATAAAACACCCACGAAATTTTGTTAACAGTCCGACAGTCCGATTGCTCTTACAGACGGCTACATATGGTTGTCTGGTATGTACAACGCTAGCCATACTCCCTGCCCTTACAGACGGCTACATATGGTTGTCTGGAATGTGCAACGCTAGCCATACTCCCTGCCCTTATAGACGGCTATATATGGTTGTCTGGTATGTACAACGCTAGCCATACTCCCTGACCTTTCTGGGAAAGACTAGACCTTCTGTAGACAATTCCGTGTTTTTCGTGAGAGGCGACTAATGTGACGACCCCGGCGGAGTTGGTGATTTCAAGTCGGAGTATTGTGCAAGTGGTTTATTGAAAACCCCTAAAAAGATATGCTGCTTTACTGTAACGCTTGGCACCATGTTAAACGTGTTCCTTCTCTGTGGTGGTGTTTCCTTAGAGACCAGTCAACTATTGTGGAGACGTAAAAACGAAAAGCTTTAGGGAAATAAAAAATGAACTATATTGTAAATGACATGGGCTTTGCGCAAGAGATTTCAACGGCATTTCTTTTTATACGGATTCTTTGCATCATCGAGATCTTCCTTGTAAACAGGAATAAATCATCATTTCAAAATAATTTTTCATAAGAAGCCTTTCCCGAAGTATGTTGAGCACAAGACGGAGAAAAATCCGTATAATTTTGTTCCATTGCGGTTTTTTGTTGGTTTGAGCGACTGAATAACAATTTGAGGTTCAGGGTCCGAATCTGGTCTGGCCCCGCTGTTGTGTTACGCTCATGGCACAGCTGTTTTTTGTTTATTTCGTCTTCATAATGTTTTCATAAAAGTCCCGCAATGTATGGTTTTCTTTTCAAAAATGATTTATCAAAGCTTCATGTATAGTCATACCAGAAAAAAACACACTTTCCAATGCAAGCTTACGATTTTGGCAGTGACACAGGGATCCTTAATAGAGCCTTGAAGACTGCATGTATGACTGTTACATAAACATGTATACGTTATGTATGTAACAGAGGCCATTATGTTTTCAATGCCTCCGCTAGGAGTCGAACCCGGGACCTCTAGCCTACTAGTCTTACGCTCTACCGAATGAGCTGAAGAGAAATTCTCCCTAGCCGAGTCGGTAGGAAGCGGCTAGTATTTTGCCAGGGTGACATACTCCCCCTCCAGGAAAGAACTCGTCCCGAGGTTTCAAGGGGTCATAACGATTCCTTCACAAGTATCGCTGAGTATTTTTGTCAAATCTCCCGGGTCCCTACGTGGGCGCCAATGTAACAGAGGTTTTTATTTGTCAACGCCTCCGCTACGAATCTAACCCGGGACCTCTGGTTTACTAGTCCTACACTCTACTGAATGAGCATTCTCTATAGCCGAGTCGGCTAGTATTTTACCAGGGTGACATGCATGTATGACAGTTGCAGAGATAACTGACGTACTTCAATTACATACTTCTTAACTGTTAAAAGAACTTCCATAGATCTGCAGCGTCTCGCCAAACCTTTATATTGAAAGGTGCCATGTACTGTGTTTCACTAGATAATAGAC